AAACTCAAAGCACACACATGTAAGACCCCGTAGTAGCTTTGTCTATGTCTCTCATGAACCCAAATCCAGGGAGACCTGCATGGTTAGATATGGATTAGTTTCATCCCTTGTTCCTGCATGGTTGGTCATCAACAAAACTACATAATCAACATTATATGAATTAATTAACTCGGATTTAGTAGACTAAGCAATTTATGGTTTTTTGGAGTTCCTTTTTGGACCAATCTCCCTAATTTCTTTTTGACAGAAATCTCACTAATTAATATACATATATCACGGGTTTTTAGCATAAACATTCACACATAAATGCATGAATCGGAACGACAAAAGGAATTGAATAGCTTGGAAGAGACAAGGCAGAGTTTCAAAGTTTAACTTAATTCAATACGGAGTAAAGATCATAGATTTTTGTTCTCTTAACTAATTATTATTATTATTATTATTATTATTATTATTATTATTATTATTATTATTATTATTATTATTATTATTATTATTATTATTATTATTATTATTATTATTATTATTATTATTATTATTATTATTATTATTATTATTATTATTATTATTATTATTATTATTATTATTATTATTATTATTATTATTATTATTATTATTATTATTATTATTATTATTATTATTATTATTATTATTATTATTATTATTATTATTATTATTATTATTATTATTATTATTATTATTATTATTATTATTATTATTATTATTATTATTATTATTATTATTATTATTATTATTATTATTATTATTATTATTATTATTATTATTATTATTATTATTATTATTATTATTATTATTATTATTATTATTATTATTATTATTATTATTATTATTATTATTATTATTATTATTATTATTATTATTATTATTATTATTATTATTATTATTATTATTATTATTGTTATTATTATTGTTATTATTATTGTTATTATTATTGTTATTATTATTGTTATTATTATTGTTATTGTTATTATTATTGTTATTGTTATTGTTATTGTTATTATTATTGTTATTATTATTATTATTATTATTATTATTATTATTATTATTATTATTATTATTATTATTATTATTATTATTATTATTATTATTATTATTATTATTATTATTATTATTATTATGGTCGTCGTCGTCATCATCACCATCATCATCATCATCATCATCATGGCCGACCCTGGCATATAAAAAGCCTTGTGCAAAATTGAATATGAGACTCTAAACTCTAAAGTATAAAACACTATAATAATAAGTTTTTAAATAAAACCTCCTTAGGGTTTTTTTTTTGGATTTTAAGAAGAAAATAGTAGGTGTAGTATAGAGGTGTAAGGTAAATGAAAAAGTAGAAAAGATAATATATTCAGAAAAGTAAAGTAATAACAAAGTATGAAAAAGAAAGTAGTTACAAGCTCGTTCCAAATTGTACTAGGGCATTGTGTGCTAATTACTGTAATTAGGCCTTGTAAAATAAAGGAATTACACAATTGTAATTAACAATTGCATTTTAATTACATTATTTAATGTTTGTATTTAAAAAAAGTACAGAGATAGGAATTTTTATTTAAATAAATAAAGAAATTGCATTTTAATTACACTATTTAATGTTTGTATTTAAAAAAAAGTACTAAGATAGGAATTTTTAAATAATTGTTAATTACACAATTGTAATTAACAATTGCATTTTAATTACACTTAGACCAATCTTTTCTGATTTATCTTCTCTGTTCCCCTCAATTCCCCACTATGCAATTGAAGAGTCAGCTGTCAAGCCAAGGTCAGAGAACTTGCAACCGTTTCAGATTTAATTTGTATCACATCTTGTTAAGTAGATGAAATCAGACTTTGAAATTTGCAGTACTCTCTCAAAATATGGAGTGCACGGGCTTCCTACAATCTTAATTCTGAATTCTACAATGCGTGCTCAATATCATGGCCACAAGACCCTTGACTCTTTAATTAACTTCTATGGTGGTGTAACTGGTAAGATGTTATTTGCAGCAGATGCATATTTTTAGTCCCTTAAAATATCACACATTTTGTATTAGATTCCTGCAATTTTTTTGTTTTTCATAAAACAAAATTCACTATATTTATAGGGACTAAAACATATTCAGTTCTATTTTTAATCATAACTTATACAATTCCTTTATCTCCAATCTAAAATTAGTCTTACAAGATTTCATTAGCCAGAATGATCTTTCTCTCGTGACCTATGTTTTTTCTTTATTTATTGGTGTGTTTATTTACTTATCAATATTAATTTATCTGCTGCAAAGGTTACATGACACCACCAGTAGATGTCATATCCCTAAACAAGGTTGGATGTTCTCGAAACCAGCACATTTATAATACTGGGAATGAACCAGAAAGTTGCCCATTCCCCTGGGCAAGGTCTCGTGAGAACTTTCTTCAGCAGGAGACGTACTTGATGTTGGCAACTGTGTTTGTTCTCCTAAGATTGCTGTATACCCTTTTCCCGTATATCTGTAGGTTTGCTCATTTTTCTTACATGAGATACAACATGAGGATCATGGTTTGAAATAGCGGTCCGCTACCGCTATAGCGGCCGCTATATAGCGGTCGCGGTAGGGGCCGCTACCGCTACGGCCCGCTATTCGTGTGTGATTTCCAAATCACGGGAAAAATCCGCTACGCCGCCCGCTACAGCCCGCTATTGACATTTCCGGCAGTACATCACGAACTGTTTGATGTGTAAATGTGTATATGTTGTGTGAATGATGTGAAAAAATACATTAATGGTGATGCATGGAGTGAAACTCAAAATTAAATGTTGTGTGAATGATGTGAAAAAATACATTTATATTTTGCGCAATTGAAAATATTTTACGCCGCTGCAACCGTTACAGTCGGCTACAGGCCGCTACAGGCCGCTACCGCGATGACCGCTACCGCTGCCGCTACGGCTATTTAAAACCTTTGATTGAGGATAAGCTCCTTGTGGGAGCATCCTCTGCTCTACCTGCACCGAGTATTCCAAGTATTTAGTTCATTGAAGGAACCATGCAAGCGGAGGAATTTGCAGGAAGGAGCCTATGAATGCTAAGGTATGGGCCTCAAAGTCTCTAGCTTCTGTTTCATTTGGCGAGGCCAGCTCAAGTCGGGTTGGACCAGTGAATTTAACTCACTGATTAATTTGGTGCTGGTTCTATAACTTCTATTTCTTTTAGAAACACCCTGCTATTTCCCATTGGGGTTGGTTTCATTGCTGAGGGGAGCAACCATTTTTTTCTACGTTTTATTATTTCGTTGTCCAAACAACATACACGACTCAATCATTGTACTATTGTAGATTAGTTTTCCTTCTTGTGCCATTATTGAAAGATAATGTTAACCTAGTGTTGACCTGTTTGTATAGAACATTTAGCTAATAAGCTAAATTTTGTACTTTTAGATATTTGTTGAACTGTGGTGCAAGGATGTAACTCGTTTTTCGTGTTTTTATCTTCTTGTTGCATCAGGCTTTATGATAGTCACGAATGTGTTGCTATTGCTTTCAAGCGAGGCTTCATGATAAGGCTTCATCTTACTTAACATAAGAGCCTTTCGCTTAACAACAATCGTTATTGTGCATACTTTACAATCATTTACACAAATGATTCTGACTTGTCAAGTTAGTTGCTGATTAAGCATGTTTGTGAAATAAGAGTATCACAAACAAAAAATGTATCACCTCCGTCTAGGCCTGGACTCGGGCCAGGCGGCCCGCCCCGGAACCGGCCCGAACCGGTTACTGTTTGAACTGGCCCGAACCGCCGGCCCGGCCAGGGACCGGTCCAGGCTCGAGCCCCTCAAAAGGTGAACCGGCCTGGCATGTTCGGGCCCGGTCCGGGCCAATTTATTTTTTTTTTCCATTTTTTTTCTTTTTTTTTTCTTTTAAGTTTTTGGGTTGGGCTGAGTATTTTGGGCCATTTGATGTGGTTTGGGGTGGTTTGGGGGTGAGAGGGGAGGGTTAATGGTTAATTAGGAAAAGCCAAAAAAAACTATAAATTGAACCGAGGCCCGGCCCGGACCCGGGGGTTACCCGGGCCGGTTCCGGGCCTCCCCTTTCATGAACTGAGGCCCGGTCGGGCCCAGGCCCGAATCGGGCCCAGGCCCGAATCGGGCCCGAATAGGTATGGACCCGGTTCGGGCCGCCCGGCCCGTTGATCGGCCCATCCCGCAACTGTGCGGGATCAGGACCGGCCCGGTTCTCGGGTCCCGGTCTGGGTCGGGCCTAGGCCCGGTGGGGGGGCGGGTCCGGGCTCTGGCCTTGTATTTGGCGAACCGTCCGGGTCGGGCCCGGGTCCGGGCCGAATTGATTTTTTTTCCCTTTTTGGGGTTCCACCCTGGTTGGGCTTGATGGTTAGGAGGGGTTTGGGGGGTGAGGGGGGAGTTAGGAAAGCAAAAAATATATATATAACCAAACCGGAGGCCCAGCCCGGCCCGGCCCGGACCCGGTGGCTACCCGGGCCGGTCCCGGGCCTTCCTTCGAAAAAAAAAGCCTGGCCGGGCCCGGCCCGGGTCCATGACTAGGCCCGAACCAGCCCGAGTCCAGGCATACCTCCGTCCTATTAGATATTGACAAGTTTGTGTTATGTGTGAAATAAAATAACAACAATTGTGTAGTTGAGCGGTTGAGGTTATGCAAAGAGAGAGAATTAAACAGAACTATAAATTATTTACTTTAAACGCAAAGCGACAAAGACAAACAAAAAAGGAGAGGTCATAAAGCTCAAAATGACAGAGGGAGTCACAACCATTGATTTGTGGAACGCATATATCACTATATCAGTACGTGCGGACATTACCCAGATCAGACCAAACTAAACCATCAAATTACAATTGTATAACTTCCTTGATGTTCGACCATACGAGGGTAGCTTTATGTTTTAGTTTTCATTTTTGTAAGTAAACCATTTTTTTAAACTGACTTATATTCTCCTAGTGGTGGTGTGATTTGACTTAATCGGATTGATCAATTGTGTGCTCGCGGCTAAGCCTTAGTCGGATTGATCACTCATTTGAGTAAAATTAGCTCGGATGCCAATTATTTAAACTTACATTTCTTATAAAAGATCAATTTCAATGACCAAAACGGTCTCACGCTATCTAAATCAGCCATAAACACTTGTCACTGAGTGAATGAAGAATAGCGTGTTCAACTAAAATGAAATAAAAGAAAAAGAAAAAGACAAAAGCAAAGGAGTCTTCTCCCTCTCTCTGGCTACTCCAGGGCCAATGAATCATCTGGCCAGCCACACCCAGCTCCAGCCTCGCCAACATTCTCAACTCCAACTGATATTAATGCTTCATGACTGGAAGCCAAAGCGGGCGGGCCTGCCTGTTTTACATGATCACACTAAATCATAAGGAAATTATAGTTACTTACAAAGGGATCTATCACACATTATCTTTTTTATTCCTCCAGATTCGAGCAAAATTCATCAAAAGATATTAAAGCAAACTAGGCAATATATTTCACTGAAATTAGAAGCAACAAATAAAATAATGCATGGAGATGTTATATACAAAGGCAATATTGAATCTTAGGTTTTACTCAAGTTCACATCCTCTAAAGTTTCACTTTCACTTTCTACTAGAGGAAACTGTCTACAATGAAAACCGAACAAGGTACAGGGAGAAATCCAAAATGAAAAATGCAAAAAATGTATGATTCAATCATTCAAGGAATTTATTTCTTCAACTCTGTGTGTAGAGTTTTCAACATTATCAAACATGAAAGATTCTTAACAAGATGAAATCTTCTCTTCCTCCAACATTATCAGCCCTCAATTACACAACAGAGGTGGGAACATACAAGGAATCACAAATTAGAGGCTAATAAAATACTACGTAATTGTTTTGGGATACAAGTTTAATGAATTGCTGACCTCTTTGTCAAACTCCCAAAGAGATCAGAGTACCTACTGTGCTGTGATAATAAGATTGGCAAACCAAAAAACATCTGTTCCACTTAACAAGAGGAAGAGCCAAACAGTTTCTATTACAATGTCAATCAGAAATTCATTCTCTTCACCTTCCGTAATGCCCAATGCAAAAACCTCAGTAACATTGATGCATGTCACATAGTTCTCACTAAAAAACAGATCTTTTTATTTAGCAGAACCAAGAGAAACTTGCCCAATGTCTTTTGCTGTTCTTGAGGTACCTGATCCCCATGAGATATTTGAAGTTTTGATGACTTCCTCATAACATTGTCCACTAAGAGAAAGAAGTATGTATGGTGGCAGCTAAACCAAATCAGAGCAAAAGTATGGCAAACTTGAATCAGCTTCTCAAAGTCCCAGGGCTGAATTGTGTGGAAAAGGAATGCTTAAAAGGGATACTACAGACAAGCAGCATTGTTCAGTAGCTGATTGCCTTTGGTTCAAAATGTCTTTCTCAATTTCCTTTCATCAGTGAGTCGTCCCAGAAACCTGCGATGTTCTCTAAGAACTGGCAGCCACCCGAACTAGACACACTTCTATACTATATAGGATTGTAACACCCCCAAAATTCTTACAAAAAATACATACTATAAATAGTAGTTTAGTAGAACATTCCCCAAATGATTAAATTCAAAATAATTTATATTGCAGCGGAAATCAAACTTTCTATGGGTGTTATTGCCACACTTGGTTCTCACATAACCGCAGGCTAAACCACAATTCAAAATAAACCCAAGTATTTAAGTAATTAAATCCAAAACAATTTAGTTGTCCCAGTTCTCAAACTTCAAATTTAAAAGAATGCGAAAATAATGAGATTCGCGAATAAGGGCAAGCTAAGCCCCAAGTTTATAGGATGATACGAAATCCTTGAACGAGTGGGAACTTGGCTTATCATTTACTCTTACCAACCGAATTGGATACGGTACGAAATTATCTTTCATATTCATTCTTAGATTCGACGTTAGGATCTGAATGAAAATTTTCCTTCGTATTAGGTACATCATAATAATGTTTTCCATGTCTCGCAACTGAAGAAATACATGCATGATGCTTCTCATATTCTTAAACCGGAGGTAAACTCCTATCTTAAACCGGAGGTAAACTCCTAACCTTAGAACTCATAACATTTCAAATTAGACTTAGCTATAAGTGATGAGTATGGAGGTGTAGGTGATTGAGTTGGATGAGACGTTATCTTATGAAGAAAAGTCGGTGAAAATCCTTGATACTAAGATAAGAGAGACTAGGAAGAAAAGTGTGAAAATGGTAAAGGTGATGTGGTCGAACAACTTAGCTGAGAACGTGACATGACAAACTGAGGCCGATATGCATGAGCGCTATCCGGAACTCTTTCAGCAAGATAATTACTTATGATCTTAGTTTGGTTTGGTTTGAGTTTCAGCGATGAAGCGTCCTTTAAGTGGGGAGAATGTGATACTCCAAGAATTCAAAGTTACAATTAAATTAAATTAATTATATTTAATTAATTGCAACATGAATTCTTGGGTTATCACAAACGTCTTGCCATATTCCAGCCTGACAAACCTTAAGGAACACTGGAACAGACTACTACTCCACAGGTAGTAAATCAAATAACATGACTAACAGAAAACACCAATGAAGTGAAATAACTGAGGCTTGTTTGGTTAGCCGGAAATGGTCTAAATTGTTAAATTTAAGTTTTAAATAGCTAAATATTCGTAAACTAAAATTAAAGCATATCTCTCGAGGTAATGTTGAGGTAATTTTGTAAAATAAATTCAATATTCATTTACTTTTTGGCTATTTGCTACTATGATTTTATTTCTCTGCTATGTATGATACTATGAGGGTTTTATTGTGTGGTTTCTCGCAAGACTATTTACTTGCATTCCTTTTTCAATCTGAAAAACGAATCATATATATAATACCTCATGTCTCAATCTCTGTTTTAGTATGTACATGCATATGCTCAGATGATTGCTTCACAGTCTTCTAACTCAGCTAATTAGACAACATGTCTGATTCTTCTCTTGTCCCTAGTTGTCATTTTCTCACCATACCTTTGAAATATATCGGCCAAATCAAAGGAACCAACCTCTCTCAGTTTCCTGGCCATCACCTCAAACATAACCTCCCCTTCCTCGTTCGAAAAGCAATGCAAAAACTTGTTGTAATCAAACCTTGGCACCTCAATCTTCCGGAAAGCCAATCTCTCTGCGTATTTAGTTGCCTCTAACATCTTCCCCGCCTTCACCAGGCCTCCCACAAAAATGGTGTCAAAGTTCACCAATGGATCTCGCTCTTTCCTCCCTCTCCTCCCCAAGTGCCCCTGCAACAACATTATATAAGTATGCATGGTCGGTTCACAACCTCTACCGATCATCTCCCTAAACACTTGCGTTGCCTCCCTTGGCCTTTTCAACCTCAAGAGCCCTTTGATCATACCGTGGAACACCATTACATCCGGCTTCTTAATTCCACCCAGCACCCCATAGGCCTCCCTCACCCTTCGTTTGCAAAGAAGCCCATAAATTATTGATGCTAATGTTGAATGGTCTGGTTTAATCCCTCTCTTGCACATTTCCTCAAACACTACATAGCTCTCCCCGATCTTTCCCTTCTTGCACAGCCAATTGATCACAAGCCTATACGTAGGCAACCCCAAATCGTCCATTCTGCTTGTTCTCATGGATTGTAAAAGCTTCAATGCCTGACCATATTCGTTGTTCTTGAATAGCCTATCCATCATCGTCTCAACCGACTCAATATCAGCCTCGAAACCTGAGTCAATCATTAAATTCCAGATCTTGGAGGCTTCAATTGTATCCCCCACATCGCAAAATCCATATATTAGCCATCTATAAGTAATCACATTGGGCTGTATTGAATCTTTCAATTTCATAACCACATGTTTAGCTTCTTGGACAAGCTTGTCTTTGCACAGAGCCTCCACTACCTTATTCAAAGCACCCACATTATACTCATACCCGAAACTGCTCATTATGTGGAAAATTTCAACGCATCTCTTCAGCTCCCTAGCTGAAGCTAGGGTTTTCAAAGCGATTACATATGTTTTCGTGGTAACTGCACGGCGTCTCCCGATCTCATGGAGTAAATCCCATAGGAGATCGATGTTTCTCGACTTTCCGATGACGTCGAGCATCTTGTTGAGGGTGGTAGGTGTGTGTGAAAATCCGGGCTGGGTCACCGCAAACTCGTGAAGCTTGTAGATGGGTCTCCATGAGTAGGGGAACTTGTTGCATACCTGGAGGAAGAACTCATGGGTGAGGTCGAAGGACGTTTTCAGGAGGCTGTTGTGAAGTTTCTCGACGGAGGAGTATTGTTGCTGGTAGAGAACCGTGCAGACTCGGAGGATGAGGGCTTCATTGATTGGTGTAGTGTGGTGGAGAGGTTGTGATAGGGCAGTGGAGGTGGAGGCGGCCGCGGCGGTTGATGTTCGAATTTGCTGGGGGTAGAGATAGAAGAGAGGTTTGAAAGATGTATGTACTGTCAGTCTCAGCATTTTGGTGGGAAATCGGAATGATCCTTCGCTAACCGACTGAAAAGTGCATAGTTTGAGACTAACTGTAACCAAACAGAACCATTAATTTTGTGACATGTTGGGCAACACTGAAATTAATACATAAAGAAGAAGTGATATTACAGAAGTAAAATAGTCATTAATACGGAGTAGCAAAGTCAGTCGATTCATCTAAAAAGTAATTTTAAACATTTATTTTGATTATGATGGATGTTTAGTTTGATTATAATTTAATTGTTTGGTAAAAATATTTATTGATAAAACTGGTAAGTGGGATAGATAGACTACCAAATGAATCTTAAATTTCAAAAACCTGAATGATTTTGTTTGTCTTATATGCTCTGGCGGAACAAGGATTGGTGACTTGGGGCACATTAGCACATAAATCATATAGTAGTATATTTGATCTTTTTTAACATTATTTTCATCGTTAGGGATGACTTTATCTGACAAAGAAATTAAATTATTCAACGAAAAATCATCAATGCTCGGCTGTTTAGGTTTCGATGTATAATATCCTAACATAGTGCAAACAACCTAACATACTACAATTGAAATAAAATAATATGAGTATAATTGTAAAAATTACATTTTAACAAATTAACAATGTTAACTAAACCAACAAATCCACAATTACTAATTTACAATAAAATTAACATTTTTAATGAGATTACCAGAATATAATTGACAATAAAATTCAACAGTTTATATGAATTCAACAAATAAAAGTATTCAACAATTAAACAATTAACATTTTAGTTGAATTCAACAAATAAAATTCAATAAATCAACAATTTTATAATGAAATTATCATAAAAATAATTAGTTTAAGGCATTAAGAGAATACGAGGCTTACCTGGAGTCTGGAGATGGGAGCACCGGCTGCACCGTCGCACCGGAGATTATGCCGGAAATCAGAAGAACTGAAAAAGGTCCGAAGGGGAAAAGGGGTGGTCATCCGCGGTCGCCGTCCGTGGTCTCGGTCCGTGGTCGCCGTCCGCCACTCCGGTCTCCGTCGCTCGCTTAGTCGATGCTGTGCGCCTGTGCTGTTGATTGTACGCAGGGGCTGAGGGGCTAAGGACGAAGGGGAGTTGGGCTGCCAGTGCTTCACTTGGGTAGATGGCCCGTCTGCATAGGGCTAAGGGGAAGGGGAAATGGGTAATTGGACCTGGGCTGCAGGGGTACAAACATAATACTATCACTCGTTCTTTAAATTTTGCAACAATTTAACTTTCACGTTTGACAACGCACAATTTTGACAGTAATTAGATTTAATTAGTTATTACTCCCTCCATCCCAATTTGATGTTCCCTTACTCCTTTTTTGGGATGTTCCAAATTGATGTTCCCGTTTCCATTTTTAGCAAATAAATTGATGAGCAATTTCAATTTTACCCTTCTCAATATCTTCAATCTACAACTTTACCAATGGAAGGTAGCAACACCATACCAAGGCAGCCTTAGGGAGTGTTTGCAATTGCTTCAACTTTAGAAAATTGATTTTTAAAGTGATTTTAGGAAAAGTGATTAATAGTAAAAGTTGGTAGTGTTTGAAAAAAAAAAAGTGATTCTCAAAAAGTAAAAGTTGGTAGTATTTGGTAAAATAAGTACTTTTTGTGTAATAGAAAAAGTGAAAAGCAATTTAAAGCATCCTTCTACCTGCTTCCAGTTTTTAGCTTTTAAGTGATTAATTTAAGCAGAAGCTCTTATTTGAAAACACTCTTTTCAGCTTTTTTTTTTTAGCCAAAAGCCGAAAACGCTTTTTTTTAAGCAACCGCAAACACTCCTTTAACTTTCCACTGCGTCTTGCTGTCGACGATCGCGTCCGGCGAATCAGCATCTCAGCGGCGGCGACTGCCACCGCTCACAAATCAGATGAGGCAATCGAGTGGCTACTCCAACAAGCTGAGCCGTCCATGACTGTAGCCAGTGAGACTAGGACCAGTCCGGCGAACTTCAATCTCTTAATTTCTTCGTCAAAGGCTCTGCGTCAACGATGTATGCAGTTTGCATCGTCGCACATGAGCTAATGGAAAGGGAAACGCAGACCACTCTTGGCCCCTGGGGCGAAAAGAAGTGATAAAGAATAAGGGCAATTTTGGAAATTCCCTACTTCTTAATCTTTGTGCCCAAAAGAAATGGGAACATCAAATTGGGATGGAGGGAGTAGTAAATACTCCCTCCATATCACAATTTGTGTCTTACTTTTCTTTTTTAGCCGTATCAAAATAATTGTCTCACTTCCATTTTAGAAAATAATTTTGTCCTAAAAATAGTTACAGTACACTTTAATAAAGTAAACATTACTGCTACAGTACCAAAAATCTCCTACTTTTTTTAAAAATTGTACAGTAAACGTATAAATTATCTTTAAATATGTGAAAAGTCTACTGGGACTCATTATGATACGAAGTGAGTACTATAAAAATTTAATGTTTGAGAAATTCACATTAATAGAAATTTAATATGTAGTATTTTATTAAAAAAGTACTAGAAATTTATTTTATACGTAACATTAATAAAATAAATTTTATTATATATATATTAGTAGAAAATCATGGTTAAAATAAGGTGTGTGAATAGTGCAAAAAACAAAATGTTGCAATTATTAAAGAATCCAGGAAGTATGTGTGTGTATATACAGTATTTATTAAAAAGAAAATTGAAACTGCAGCCCCCCAGGCCCTAGGATGGTTCCGCTCTAGATTATATGTAAATTAAAATGGCAGAAGAGAAGCTAAAATTTTAATTGTTATAGTAACACTAAGAGCTTGTTTGGTGAACCTGTTTTTCGGCTAATCAACTTTATGAGTTAACTTTTCACGTAGCATGTAATTAATACGTACTACGTAGTATGTTTAAGCATAGAATTTTGTCCACCCTTAATTTTTGGATGATGGCTCACAACGAATTTCTTCTATCTCCTTTAAATATACTACGAACCAACCTAAGCTAGGCGGGTCTCATTCCATAATTCCATTTTACACAATAATTTCATTTTATTTATTATTTATTTTTTCTTATTTTCTTTGCATGATCTTTTTGCAAGGTGTTTCAATAGCTGAAATAATATTTCTAATAATTATAATAATAATAAAAATACTACGTCGTCAAAACACTTTTCTGTTTATTTGTTTTTAGAGTACGTACGTATTCAATATTGTAATGCTTACTACATCGATCATAAATGTTACCTAATACTTCATACTTTTTCTTGTACACGGTAGCTTAGAAAGTTCACCCATGGAAAAAGAGCAATTTGCAATTTGCATCACAACATAATAGTAGTGGCCGTTTTTGAAAAAAATGCCGCATTTGCTGAAAAAAAATTAATTCGATGCATGTTGGTTGCCGGTTGTTAATTAACAACGGCATTTTTTTAAACTTTGTTATAATTTGATAAAATTATGACAACACAAATAAAAAAATATTATCAATTTGGGACTTGAAAGATAGACGAATTAACAATTCGAAATTTGAAAAATGAAATGTCATATCGATATAACTAGGTCCTCAATGATGAAACGCTATCAATTCCCGAAAATATGGTCACAATCCTAGAACCATACGGACCATTCAACTTCAACTCTCTTACACTTTTGTCATGCTTTACTCTTAAATCTTAATTACTCCCTCCGGTTCATATTCTTTACAATTTTCTTTTTGGGCCGTCTCAGAATCATCTTTACACTTCCTTATTTACCTTATTTGGCAAACAAATCTACACAAAACAGTGTCAAACAGTGTTCAAACAATGTCAAACAGTGTCCAAACAGTGCCAAACAGTGTATTCTACAGCAAAGTCATTTTTTTTGCTTTAAAAACCGTTAAGTCAAACTGTAAAGAAGAATGTGAACCAGAGGGAGTACATAATTAACTCTTCTTTGAACTCCTTTGAAGATTAAATAAATGCTCATGCTGTGAGAACTGAGAAGGTCAATCTGCGGTCTGCCCGCCTGCTTTCTCTTCATAGAATTGAATGTCGCATAATGTTTCTCATCTACTTCGTATATCAAAAGAGATAAAGTTAGCATTAAAGTTCTGAAATTCGAAAGCATATCATATCATTAAATGAAAACAAATTAAATTGCCCATAATTCGGAAGCATATCAATAAATGAAAGCAAATTAAATATTGTCCATCACTTTCTTTTTAATCTTTTTAAGTATAAGCCGCATACACATCCATATTTTCGTTCCTTTATATTCTTATTTGCTGTGTACTTTAAGTCTTTAACCCCACTTTAAAAACAGAGGTAGTTGACCTGAGTAGTAGTTATTGGTCCGTACTTATTACGCAACAATTGGGGTGAATAAAGAGGTGACAAGGGGTTGGATTTAGACCCGGTGGAGGCTCATTCAATTCACGTCCACCCATTAATTTTTCATAATTCATTCACCCGTCCATCATCCATTAAACATTACATCTACATCCAATCCATCCATCATAAACAGATTGTCGGGTGGATATATAGGGTGAGTAGCGAGTGAATATAAATTATTTAACTTGAAATACAAAAAATAATTTATGAGGAGAAATTATAACTATTAAAAACCGAAAATTAAGAATTCATTCAATAATAATAACAAAAACTTGAGCAATTAACTATATTACAATCATTATTAATTCATTGCGTATAAAGAAAAAACTGATTGTCAAACAAAATAGATATAAAACTTCTTCAAGCTGCCATTCTACATTTTGCATCGACACAAAATCATTTTTGCAGTTCAACTGCCACTTATTGAAATTCTCTAAATGTCTTTATTAAACCAATTCACAGATATGTGTCTTCTCCATTAAAAAATACATATATATTAATATTAATTATTATATATATCATTAATAAATATTATATATTTATATGTGGGTTAGTGGGTGGGTGTGTGGAGCGGGTGACAGGTCGGGTGATGGGTTGGACGAGTGTTCATCCACACCCGATCCAATTCCAACCCATCTTTCAACCCATCCGTCATCCATTTTTCATCCATACTTTTTCAAGTTTTCGTCCATATTTTCGGTTCGGGTTGACCGGGTATCCGCGGGTGCGGGTGATATTGCCAGCCCTAGGTGAATCGTATATATAATACAAACAAATTCAGGAGGTTCCGGTTTTGTGAGATATATTACAGTTAAGTTAATTTTGAGCTCCCAAAAAATATTAGAGTACCTAATAAAACTTATTATTATTAAAACGAAGTAAAATAATTAGAAAGTTAGTAGCCATGAAATTAAAAATTAGGTTGCAAAAATCTACATGCATGTTAGTATCTAAAACAATTTAATTATTAATAAATTATGTATGTACACACTTGGATTACAGAAAAAACTAAATGGACTCGATGAAAACGTATACAATCATGGGAAATTTGATCGTAGCCTAATCTGGAGGCCCGACCTCTAAATGCAAAACTGAGGCCACCTAAAACAAGAAAGGGGAGTGTTACTTGTACACATTATTTTTTGTACACATTTGTTGTATACATTGCCTAGTTATCCGTGTACATAGGAGCTTTTGCATGAATGAGTTGTTTGTGTACATAGACAATTAGAGGGTGTGTGCAACAAATGTGTACAAATTATGTGTACAAATGGTTTTTTCCAATAAGAAAAGTACAAAAATACAAAATTTAACAATAAAATACAAATAAACAAGATAGTTCAGTTAAATATTAATGTTATAATGTTTAAAATACATAAATTAGACAATTTAAAAATTAGGAAAATTTGACTGGAATAATCCCAACTATGCGTCGTCCGCTTCTAATAATCCCTACTATGTATTATATCTGATTAATCCGTACTTTGGGGGGTGTCTTCCATTATTAGACTGTAACCGGTTGTCTTAAATTAGAGCCGGTCATACAGTCACGTGATCGGTCACATGTGTACTTAATACACCTACCCTTCCGTTAATATCTTCTTATCTTCATCTGTCGTGAAACAAAGACGCGGCAACCTTCTTCTATCTTCTTTCGTGACCTGCAAATACAAAGTGCAGAGCGAGTGTTCAACATCTGGCCAGAGGAGTCGCGATTGGGTTCAACATCTTGGTCATCGTCTTGGGGAGGGAAGGACGCAACCCAGATCGACTATTCAGTTGAATACCACCACAAGGTCTTTT